TTAATATTTTGTAATTAACACTATAAAAACTTTTGTTAATTATTTTATTATAATTTAACCTTGCAGTTTAATTCGGTTGCTTTAGACATATCATTCCAATTTAACCTTATTTAGATACATAAATAATTATATGTATGACTTAGGTACGTCATATTTATAGATGACTTAATTATAGATGATATATTTTAAAACGTAAGAAAAATAAACATACAACATTGATGTATCAAAATAGACTATCCATGACGCCGTGCAATTTAGTATTTACTTATGTATCGAAGTATAAAAAAACAATACGTTTTACGAGAAACTGGAAAAAATKGTCTCAACAGCTTAGGACCTTTGAAAGTTTTACCATTATTAGTGTCGTAATGTCTTTTAATGTTATTTGGGCAGTGTATTTGAGATCACTGGCTTAGGTTATTGGTGGTTATATAAAAACATTAACAAAAAATGTTGAAAGTTATGTCAAACATATTTTAGTATATTATATTATATTAATTTTTTTATACTCGTATTAGAAATAATTTGTGACCAATCAATGAAATGTTCATGATGGTTTTAGCMATTTTAGATGTAATAATTCTATAATATGAATTAAATAATAAATAAAAACTCAGCATTAAAAATATACCTCTTAGGTATATAATCATTATATATAAGAAATAGAAAGCTTAAAAAATGGTTTATTTAAATAAAGCTGAGCATGTAAAAGTGGCTAAAGTCTAAGTATTTTTTTTTTTTTAATCAATGACGAATATAATTATTTCGAGTGAACTTTACAGCAAGGTTAAAACAAAAGTGGTCAATATATAGCTACTAAGAATATCTATTGTAAGACATTCAGAACTTTTCCAATATTTTTAAATCCAGGCAGGATTAAGATGGAATAAGGAGTTTAGTGATAGTGAAGTCTGTGGTCATTRGTGACTAGGTGACATGGTGCCTATAAGCTGGATTGAACAGGCCCTTCATTTAACCAATTAAAATTAAAATTAATTAAAACCACATTCACTAATACACCTTTACGATTATTTTGTTGTTAATTTTAATAACTTCTCAAAAACGACAAACTCATTTATAAAATGACATACTTTATGTACCTACTTAAGTATCATTCGTGTTACATTTTCAATTAATGTAGATATTATATTATCTGTATTCACGAGAATAGTCGAGTGTTAAATATAATACATGACAAATCATTATATTAATACCACCAATACATATTCCCTGTTCTTCTTACAATCTAATATTATTATTCTCTCATATAACTAGTAATAATTATTTTTTATTTTTATTTTGCGAGTACCTACCTACATATCTTTTAAAACTTTTAAGAATAGAGATAATAAATAATATATTCATCATTTATTTAGATATAGTCTAACATGTTTTTTATT